TGCAGAACAAGAACCAGCTGTAAAACAGCAATTATGCTGAGTCAGGCTTGATTTTTAATAATCATTTCCTGTTAAATAAATAAATCAAATCAAATCAAATCAAACTCAGCAGTCAAACTGACGTATGCACATATTTCTATCTGTTTGGTATAATGCACAAACTGTGTGTGTACTATTGATTGCCATATATACATTAATGGCTTGCTCCATCAACATGAAAACATTGACACAGATCTAAATGGTTGCACATTAAGATTTACTATGTATATCTGTTACACTGTACATGAATTAACAGTCCAGAAGGCGGATATTTAAATATCAATATTTACATTCATGCATCCATCATTTCTCTCATATAGGTAGGATATACTGTTAGCTAATATCTGTGCATGTTTAAATGCAAGCATGTGTATTTTATTTTTCATCCAAATTTCCACAGTTTAGTCAATATCTATACTTAACTGACAGGACAGCACTCTGTGTACACTCGTCATCTGCATGCACACTCACATACAGACGGACGCACACGCACACATGCGGTCCACGCACCGATTTGTCGTAGGAAATAAAAGATAAAACGCAGAGCAGTTGTGTGTTTTTCCACCGAGGATGTGGAGGATGGCTGTGACAGCACTGAGTCACACCACGTCCTCGCCGAGGCCATCCTCAGTGCAACCCGATCTCTCGCTATTGGCTAAAGTCTCCTGTCTGTCACCAGACCCAAAGTCAGCCCCGGGCTCAGGTCCCCTGTTTCTACAGAGACGGGCTAAGGCCTGCTTGACAGATCAGAAAAAGGAAGATTGTCTTTTCTGGACAAAACATGGTTGAAGGCATCTAGCTGACCCCGAGAGTGAAAAATATGAAGTTCAGTGGCCACATGAATTGTGATCACAGGTGCACAAAAAAAGAAAAAGACTGTCATGTGACGCAGCGCAGAAATGATGTTTGGAACGCACACATTCATACAGACATGAGTAACAATATGTGTACAACTCAGTTATTACCAAGTCTTATTGGGTATGTACCCGGTATGTATTGGGTACTTCCCTGATACGTATCAACTATAGACCTGGTACTTCTTTGATACATACCAAGTACTTACTGGGTACAAACTGGAACATACCTGGTAGTTATCTGATATGTAGTGGGTATTTACCAGGTAGGTTATTACAAGGTATGTAATGAGTACATATTTGGACTTTATTGGCTACCTACCAGGTATGTACCTTGTACTTACTGTGCACAAACCAACTCAGTACCTGCTACTTACAGAGTTTGTACTGGATACATACAGGGTAATTACCAGGTACAAAACAGATACATATTGGTAATTAAATGGTAAGTATTAGGTACATACTGGGTACATACGGGGTATGTGCCGGGTACTTACCAGGTATGTACCTGGTACTTACTGAGTACAAAACAGCTCTGTATCTGCTACTTACCAAGTTTGTACTGGGTACATACAGGATAATATCAGGTACAAAATTTGTACATACTATGCAATCAGCTGGTACATGTCAGATACATAATGTGTACTTATTGGATGTACTGGATAAGTACAGGGTGCTTACCTGGTATGTGCAATGTATGTACTAGATCTATACCTGGTAAGTAACGTTCATATAATGTAGGTAGCCAGTAAGCACAAGGTATACACCTGGTACATTTCTGGTGTACCCAGATAAGTAACAAGTTTTTACGGGGTACATATCAAGTACATACTTGATGTGTACGCAGTATGCACTGGTCTGTAACATATATTACTACCTGGAATAACTAAGAGCAAAACACCTTGCAGAGAAAGTGTGTTTCACCAAACTGACTGCAATCTTAAAGCATTGAAACATCTCAGAATATCCTTTTTGTTTGTTTTTTACAAATTCACTCAGAAAACAAACCTATAAAGAAATAAGACAAATCAAGATGTTCAGGATTTGTAGAGATGTGTGTCACTTACAGGATAGATTTTTTTAAGTATAAAAATAAATTTGAAGAAAAATAAATAGAGCAAATAAATCCATGAATGACCTAAATATATTACAAGGAGCTTAAGTCTCTTTTTGGCATGATAACAGAATCAGAACGTTGGTATCGCCAAATTTCTTCCCCCCTCCGTCTTTTGTTGGTAAAATATTGATTTCTTTAATTTGCATAGTCAGATGAATCCAAATCTCAGAGCCAGGACCGACAGTCGCATTATGCCTCTCACAAAGCATCTGCCTCGAATATGAAGGATGGAAAAAAGAAGAAAAAAAGGGGAGGGGGGGGGGGCTAGATTGTAAAAAAAGTGTTGCATTCTCTATTTAAAAAACTGCATGCATTTTATTAGTGGTGTGTGCGGCGATGGGCCGTCCTGTCGGGAGGGCCTGCGGGACTGCGGGGGCTGCGGCGCTCTTCCACTGCAGATGTCAACAGTTCGTGAAGTCTGGATCTGCTGCAGACTGGCAGACAGTCCCTCTCCAGCCTGCAGCCAACCAGCCTGTCAGCAACACTTGCTCTTACTAAAAGCATAATGTTCAGTCTGCTGTGCCACTTTTCACACCATGGGGAGTTGTGAGTCCTTCAGTCCTTTCTGCTTTGATTTCTCTTCTCAAAGCTGAATGGTGCCTCCAGTCCAGGCAAAGCAACAAGGGAAGGTTTTTTATTTTCTCTTTTTTTTTTTGGTTGAAAACCTCAGGTGAACCCACATTGCATTGTAGTCAGAAGGGACAGTCGGAACAAGGGGGAAACGACGCAGCTGAGTCTCTTCCTGTAATAGATGGATCTACACCACAGTGTTGTTGGTACCCATGGTCTTCTTGTGACGGATGCTCATGGCGTACTCCCCACGGCTCGTCCCGTTCTCCTCTTTCCGCAGTGGTTTCCTGCGAATAAACATTTTTGCACAAACGTGAGGAGGGATTCTTTAACAGCAAAACCAACAACTAAATGATATATCTTCCACCTTCAGCCGGTATGTCATTACACAGAGTTTTACATCTGTCCACCTTCTGGATGATTTGATTTCAAGTGCTGCTCTGGTCTGGGATATGCTGATCTAAACTATCCTTCTTAATAAGCTCAATATTTAAAGGTCAATTTCGCAGAGGGAAAAATACATCTCAACATGGAGGGATAGGGAAATTACCCATTTAGACTGGTAGATGCAATCTTCCCTCTAAGTAATGAGACGTGGTTGTCAAAACAATTTGACAATAACATTAATACATAACCCGCCAATCTGACTGGATGCTGGACTCTGTCTTTTCTGTGAGGAAGTTTTGCTGAGAAATACAGCTGCAACCCATGATTCCCATTACTGCTGCTGGTCTGTAAAGAGCAGGATCATTCAATGCAGCCCCCCTTTCATGCACTCTTTATTGCTTATGTGGTCATATTATATTTGTCCAGTGTACTGTAGCCTTTGCACCGACCCGCTTTTCTTGCTGTCCCCTCCACAGGCTTACGTAACGCAGACACCGTTCACGCAGTTATTGTCCCACTCAACACTGTGAATTGCCCTCAGCCACGCAGAGAAGGACCCTCGAGTAGCATCTTAGCTTGGCTTCTCCTCTGCTCTCTCTCTCTCTCTCTCTCTCTCTCTCTCTCTCTCTCTCTCTCTCTCTCTCTCTCTCTCTCTCTCTCTCTCTCTCTCTCCTCGTCTGAAAGCCCAGTGAGACTTTGACAAATAGTCACTCTCGGTCCTGTCCAGCATAATTACTCTGACCTTCTCGGGCATCGAGAAAACTGAGCAGAAAAGTGAGTCCTTAGGGAGAAATGAGCTCACGCGTGAYGCAACGTGAAGATTTGTAACTGTTGGGCTATAAAATTGTTACCTTTAGTTTGTGCCTGGAGACTGGATTCATATTTTTCTTTTAATGAACAACAGAAGATTTTACTTATAAAGAGTGTAAATTTTTCTGTTCTCTGCAGCTTTTACCAACCGTTCAGTTCCTGTTTTATTTAAATTAAATCACTAAGATGGACCAACATGTTTGACTGACAATGAGATTTAATTTTTGTTGTTTATTAATTGTTTTGTTATAATAACGGTCCCCTTAAAAACATTTATTAATGTACTTTTATTAATTTCTTAATTCCATATTTGAATTGTCAAACATTGGTCAGTAACAACACATTATACAGTCTGGTATGTACCTGATAACATCTGAAAACGTACCAGGTAAGTACTTAGTATAGACCTGGTCGTATCATGTTAGCACAAGATAACAAGTCCYTTCACAAAAGGACTCTCAAAGCTGCACTCTAGCTAAATCTGAACCTAYAAATTATTTTAAAAACTTTATAAAGTGTCTATAAACACAAGAATATACTCTTTGCATATATAAAGGGCCCATTATTAGGAAACTAGTACATAGTTTTATGATGACGTCTTTAAMACTAAAACAAGAGAAGACTGGACAAAAAATATATCAGCAACTTAAAATCACAGAAAATAAAACAACWCAATTTACCCTCCCCACCCACTTATTTTTCCTCGACAAAAGTAATCAAAACATAAAATCTAAGAATATGTAACATTTCACAAAATGCAAAAAAAAAAGGCAAACAAAAAAACACACTAATAATTATTGTTACGATTGTGTTTTGTTCTGGTGTTTTTGGAAATATGCTTCATTATTTCTTTTAACAATTTGATGTGCAGAATGATGCTGTTTTGACAGATGTCAGATTCCCTTAAAAATCGTGTTTTCTGAAAATTTGCTGCTTTACATTTTGATGATTTTTTAAACACATTTCTTTTTWAAAATATAACTATGTGTTTTAATTTGATTGTTTTCTTCTGCATTTTACAACTAAAGTCAAGTACAGAACTTGTCCATCTTGTCAAACTATTACTGAATCATTATCTATTCTATGCACTGTACATCAATACTTGGAAATACTAAAATAACAACTTCTTGTTTACTTAAAACAAAAAGGGAAAAGAATTAGGACAGACTACAATATTCATTAAGTTAGCCAGGCTGTAATGAAAGATTTTAATTTCCTGGCTAATCATGACTGTTTGTTTAGGATATGAACAATAATCTCGCACTGATTATTATATTTATTCTAATAGTTTAGAGGGCCTTGTGTAAACACAGTGATTATAAAACTGCTGTTCTAGATAAATGCATCTCCTTTACATGTATGACAAAGACCTAACTGCAGGATCAGAGAGAAATGGCTCCAGGGAGAAAAAGAAGAAAAAAAAGAGAGCTGAAAATAAAAAGTGAGACTATGACTAAGACTTGTGTCAGCTGGTAGGGGTCGTCTCTGTGAACGCACCAGGGACACATGCTGGCCATGTGGGACAGACGACGCCTGCTGCGTCCCTGTGGGACGCCGGGGAAGCCCTAGAAGAGAAAGCGTCCAGCCTCGGGGTGGAAACACATCCTACTGTGGGGGTGTGGGGATGCTGGACAGATACTGCTGCAGCTGAGGGATTTGGGATAGACCAAATTTCCTCTGCTCACAGTGGAAAATGTTTGCTGGTGATGTCACAACGTTTAATATATAATTTATACAAATATATATATGTCCTAACTTGGCGTCTCCTCGTCTGAAAGCCCAGTGAGACGTTGACAAATAGTCACTCTCGGTCCTGTCCAGCACAATTACTCTGACCTTCTTGGGCATCGAGAAAACTGAGCAGAAAAGTGAGTCCTTAGGGAGAAAYGAGCTCACGCGTGAYGCAATGTGAAGATTTGTAACTGCTGGGCTATAAAATTGTTACCTTTAATTTGTGGCTGAAATCGACAACGGTAGATTTTAATAAAAAAGAGTCTGTAAGGTTTTCTGTTCTCTGGTTTCTGTTCTTAAACATTCAGTTCATGTTTTATATAAACTACATCACTAAGATGGTTCAACACATTTGATTTTGACACAAAGTGGTAACTTGCTGGATCCTTTGTGGCTGAAGCCTGAATTCACATTTTTTTACATCAACAACAGAAGATTTAAGTAAGAAAACGTTCTATATTCTGCTTCACAAATGAATTTTTATAGGTTTTGTTATTGATTTATAATGATTGCCCTCTGATAAAGCATTTATTCAAGCATATCCTAATGCTTTATGAGTGGTCATTTATGCATTTGTAAGCACTTTATGGTGGATCATAAATCATTGAAAAAGCACTGTTCATAGCTGAGGTGGGATCACGTTTTGGCAAAATTAAGTGCTGCACTTTTATTAATTTCTTCATAATCTACTGTATTTTTTTARATGTTAAACATTTGTCAGCAAAATGTAACACAACCTGATGTATACCTGAAAATAAACCAGGTAAGTACTCGTTAAAATAGTTCATATCATGTTACTACAGGGGAACAAGGCACTTCATAATAAAGTTCCTGGTCTATAGGTAAAATGGTAAATGGTCTCCAAGGTGCTTTACACTTCAATCATTCACACACTGGTGGTAAGCTACAATGTAGCCACAGCAGACCTGGAGCACACTGACAGCGGCGGGCCTGCCATGCACTGGCACCAGCAGGCCCTCTGACCACCACCAGGTACCAAGTACTAGGTAAGTAACTGGTATGTACCTGATAATACAGTAGCAATAAATGGCTTTCACGAGTTACAACAAATGATCTTGTTAGCTGAAACAGTGCTGTTTTATCAGATGTTGTCTTTAAAAGTTGTCATTGGGTGAATGCCTTTAGGCATTCAACCTATTGTTTTCGTTTTTCTCTAAATTGTACGTTTTTCGACATCTATCTCGTCCCACAGTTTTTGTCCGATTCGTACAATTCATATATCAAAACGTCCGGCTCATTAATGCCATGCCTGCTATATCTCCGGGGATTTCAGCTACTTATACTTTTTTAGCTATTTCACTTTTTTAGCTGATTTTTTCCCCATTGACTTTGAATTGGGCTATGTTTCAACTGCTTTAAGCATCTGAAATTCTTCATAATTCTTCACAGCTTTTCACAAATTTTGCTTTGGTTATGCTTCCTCTAAATTTCTCATGCTAGTTTTAGCTACTTTTTTGATAACTTTAGCTGTTTTTTGCTATTTCAGCTAGAGATCTGCTACTTTCTGCTATTTTCCTGCTTTTTCTGCTATTTCTCTGCTTTTTCCTGCTAATTTGGACATTTTATGCTTCATACAGTTGCTTTCTGCTACATTAAGCTATTTTCTACAAATTTAGCTACATTTTAGCTGTTATTAGCCGATGTTAGCTTTCTAACGTAGTTACTCATTTTTTTGGAGCTACTTCGACTTAATTCGGCTAAGTCCAGCAAAATTGTGCTCCTTATGCATCGTTATGCTAATTAAAACCTTAACAGCTCCTTTTTAGCTGTCTCACTGTAAACTTCGGCTGTTTTACCTATTGCACTTGAAATTATCACTTTCTCTGATTTTTATGGGGTTTTTTCCTACTAATTTTAATTTTTTACTTCCATTTCACCATCTGGGTGCTACTTTCACCTTGACACTGCTATCTTTAGCTTTTAGCTTACGTTTTGCGCAACAGGCATTCACCCTTGCATTTTYGTAGGAAATGCAAATTCTCTAGTTATTTCTGAAATTTTGTTATTTTAATGTCTTGATGTTTAGCAAAACATGTTATTTTTTTAAAAAAATGCAACAATGTTTAGATGGACAAACAGGTCAAACACTATGGTTGTCAACAAGCTGTCGCATTACAAAGCCACTGTTATGCCAGACAGAAGGAACACAAGAAACTGGAGGAATWCTAAGAGCTGAAAGAGGAACTAGAGGGGTTGTGGAGAGTCACGGCCTGATTCTCAGCCTCCACGCCATATTTTAGCTCAATAGCTGTAAAATAAGTAAGCTGTGGTTATTAAAACTAGAGGGTCTTTTAGAGGAAAAATGGGCAAAACATGCCAATGCAGCATCGTTCTGAAGGACGAGCTCACACTAATTTGTATCTCAGTCTGCAAAGTTATTTTCTTGTAGCTGATGTTTATCTGACGGTTTCCTTTCTTCTTATCAATTAGGTTTTGCTGCCTCTGCTTCCTTCCCAAAAGCTTATTTTCTTCCTAAATAGGCAAAAGTGCATAATGAGCACATTTAATTTTATGATTATTTGACAAAAAGCTTTAACAAATTATTAACAAAAGCATTCCACACCTCACAACTCACCCTTTATACAATTTATACTCATGTTTGTGCTAATCATTATATTACAGTTTTGTACAAAGAAGACAGACCTTAAACATTTATATATTTATGCGATTTTTCATGTGACATGTTGATGCACACTCAGTTTGATGGTCTCTCAGTCTTGTGTTTATCCCCGGGATGTAACCTCCACTCAGACTGACCGTGTCGATTCGGGCCACCGCTCAGGGCAGAGCGCCGGGGCCCCCGAGCCGACCTCTACCCGGGCCCTTCAATAATAAATGGCATGCTGTTGACACATGGCAGGTGGCAACACAACACTTCACAGGTTGGATGAATATTTCATATCAAAGCTGCGCAATCACGGTGCAGTGCCCCCCACCCGCCAGCCCACCCTCCCCTGTTTGAAGTTTGGGGAGTGGATCACGGTGAAATTGGGACATGTGTCGAGCTGTTTACAATCACTCCGGCCATCTGGAAATGAGAGTAACAAACCTATGGTTGAGAGAAAAGGAATTCAAACAGGGACTGTAAAAATCTGTCACTAAATATGACGGTGCTGGATTAGCATATCTGAAAATTATATATAAAAAAACGTAATTATTCATATGTAATCAAATAGCGTATTTGTGATTTTGTGTCACGCTTGTTAAAACCAGCAATGATCTAACTTTGGATAAGCCTCCCAGAGCAGTAAGTGATTAAAAAAAGCATCCATTACTCAGTTTATTTGTTTTGGCTTATTGGATGGCCGTCTGCCTGGACTGCAGCATCATGTCTTTTTGCTTTGGATGGCACAACAACACTAAAAAACACAGCATGTCTCTGAATCCTCCTCTCTCTGCTCGCACACACCAGGCTCCCTGCGGAGCGGACTTTAGGACAATATTGTACAGAAGTGTGGGTTGCTTTTTTCTTCTTCTTCTTCTTCTTCTTAGCCTCTTTGCTTCTGACAGACCACTGGCAGCCCAAGATTTGAGAAAACAACTAAAGGCTAGGAGGGCTGGGACCTGCAGAGCTTGGCTCTTCTTCAGCCTGTGGCTCAGACTTTGGCCCTCGGCCAGATGGTTTTCTTTGGGAAAGCCCAGATCACTGAGAGGCTGGAGGGGCTATATATAACCGTTGATTTTTTTTTTCTCTCAGTGACAAACCCTTTCTCACATTGTTATTGACTACCATGCTCAATTACTGCCTGTGCTTGCCTTGGTGGACAGATTTTATTTGTTCTTTCTGCGGTGCTGTTTCCTATCTGTTCCTCTCAGGAGTGATCGATGCTCAGAGCTTTCATGGCCGAGAGTTAGAGGAGTCACATTTTTATCCTGCCAGCTCCCATTGTGGCTGGCGACTAATAAATATCTAAGGACCCAGTCTGGACCTGTGCGATATCTCCTCCTCGTTCGGGGGCAGCCTGGCGTGGCATGAAGTCTGCAGTCTGAAGCTCAGTGAGCTTAAGGACACAACCTACTCGCATGTATAAATGATGTAGCCCCGCGACTGAATGACTGCACAAATTAATTCATAAATAATAACTCGGGTTTGGGGCTACAGCTCGTATTGCACCAACACTTTCTTACCACAGCTGCATTAAATAAAAGGTGCCCCTTGGCTACACAGGGGGCTGGAGGATTGCCATAATGAATTCCTGAGCCAACCACTCATTACTTCCACTGCTTGACTTTGCCTATTTGTTGTTTCAAAATAAAAAATAAAAAATGACGGGATAGATTTCTGCTGAGGGAAGCTATATCTGGTGAGCAGACTTAATATAGTTCCATAAATATACCAAGGTATGAATGTCAATCTTTTCAAAGTCACATAAATAAAACAAAGAAGCTCCTAATTTTTGCACACAAGTTTGTTCTCATTTGTTGGTGTGAGTTGATGCTTGCTCTATAAATTATAGAAAGTGTAAAACTGCCTAAACGATGCATGTATATACTGTATGTAAAGATGTGAACATGTACAAGTATGCCCTGAACACTTTGCACAATACAATACATTTAAAAAATTTTGGTTTAATTTTAGTTTTGTTTGTTCTGCAGGCTTTAACTATGTATTTTTTATTTTATTTTATTGTATTTATTTATTTTTTTATTTTTTGTAAATGGGATGAATGTGGAAAAAGCTGCAACAACTTGGATTTTTTGTTTCCAAAAGCTGCTAAAGAGGCTTAAGACCATTTGGGAAATTAATATCAAGTATTGTTTGGCCACTTCTGTTTCAGGATCGTGGTTTGCTGACTGCCTGTTTTCTGCTGTTCTTGTTTTAAACGATCTTACTTTCAGCTCTCTGTGCACACCCAGTCCTACATTTTTACATCTACATCACATCATTTATTTACCTACAAACATATCCCTTCAAGTTTTCACTTGCTCTTTGTCTAATATTTGTCTTTAGCTCCCTGTTTGTAAAATATCTCATTAATCACTGGACAGATTTTAATGAAACTCTCAGACAAGTTTCGTGACAGGTTGTCTGTGCACYACCTTTAATGTCATTTAAAACAAAATTCATCATTTTATTTCCTCGTCTGTATTTGTAGGCTGCACTTGTGTCCTCCTTGCCATCATCCCAGTATTTAATGTGATATTGATGAGTAAAAACATAAAATAAAACCAATTAATGAGTTTGTGATGGATGGACATGGGATCATTTTAGGTTAGGCTTCAGCCAAGTGGATGAGGAGTACTGGTGTGGGATCATAGGAGCTAGTGGGACATTTTTATGTTGAATATCGACTTGTATTAACTTGTATCTGGAAGACACTCAATCATGCAGTGGTGCATGAAGAAGTGTACAGCATTGAGGAAAGACATGCTGTTCATGCAAAACGTTGCTTCATCGCTGACATACACCCTCTCTTGGCAGGAAATGCATCAACAGCAAATCTACATTCTTTTACTCCAACCTCATAAAAAAGGTTCCCTTTTATTCAAACTTTGCTAATTTGATTTTAAACAGAGACTGTGCAGTTGTGTAAGACTATTGTAACATTACACATATAAAACAAACTCCCTTTGTGACATGGAATAATAACGCTCACACAAAAAAATCTGTAACCTTTACTCATGTCAAGGTAACATGAAAAGATAACCACCACTTTTTCAAACAAAACAAGTAAATTTCTTTGCTCCCAGAAAATTAGCTATGTATGTGCACATGTGTATACAAGGGAAGAGAGAGTATACCTCCAGAGGTATACACACACACACACACACACACACACACACACACACACACACACACACACAC